TTTTGTGGAGGTAGAGGTGTCTGGGGCTGAGTATGACAATGCCAAGCAGAAAACTGAGATTGTGGGTGAGTGGGTTAGCAAAGGGAGGGGAGAGGGAGGCACCACCACTCCTGCCCATGGTGTGAGCCATGGGCAATGCAGCAAAACCTGGGCCCAGGCTCAGCATCAGCCTGGCTGGGAAAAAAAGCATGACGGTGGTGTTTTCTGACTAGCGGACAACGGCCTGAACCCCCTCTGGACCCCGAAGCAGTTCCACTTTCAGATCAGCAACCCCGACTTTGCCTTCCTCCGCTTCGTGGTGTACGAGGAGGACATGTTCAGCGATGAGAACTTCCTGGCTCAGGCTACCTTCCTGGTGAAAGGCTTGAAGACGGGTAAAGCACTTGGGGAAGTGGGGAGGGCATGTCATGGTGGTCCTCACCAGTTTGGTAATTGCATCATTAGCCAGGGAGATGCTGAGTTTCATGAGAGGATGCTGTCAGTCTCCAGGCTGGCTCCATCCCTCCTATCCCCATGACAGGTCACATCCCCAACCAGGTAAAGGAAGGAATAAGCTGTTTGCTAATATCCCTTGGGGCCAACTGCCACTTGAGGGGAGCTGGCGGGGTTGGAGAAGACCCCCTTGAGTTCTGTGCCAGGATACTGACACTTCACTGCCTGTGCCACGAGTAATGCCAGGACTGTCTCTGCTGTAGGTTTCCGAGCTGTACCCCTGAAGAACAACTACAGTGAGAACCTGGAGCTGGCTTCCTTGCTCGTCAAGATAGACATTTTCCCTAGCAAGGTAAGGACATAAGAGTGTCCTGCTCTGCTCGCCCCTGCAGTGGCATGGCTCTGCGCTGCTGGTGGGTCTGAGCAGCTAAGCTCAGCATTGCCTGGCCTGAGTGCATACCGGACGGCCAAGATTTCAGTGCTGCATTATAGCGATGCACAGAGGGCTGGGAGGATGGGAAGCACCAGGCTCGCCTCCTGCAGCAAGCCAGGGCGTTTCAGGCAGGGTCCTGCCTGGGCTGCATTTGACTTGCCTGGAAATCCCTTCAGTAAAAGCTGAAGGAGGCAGATTTACTCTGTCCCAGTCGTCATCTGCATTCCAGGGAAGTTACAGCTCAGTATCATGGAGCCTGGCTGGCCTGGGGCCATCTGCATCGCATAAGCAGAGTGCAGAGCTCTTTCAGAGACAGATGTATCTTCTATTTGTTCATTTAAAATTATGTTGGAGGGAGCCCGTGATGTTTGTTAAAGACAGAGCAGCTGCATGTTGCAAACCCCAAGACCCCTGCACACCCTGTGTGGCAGCTCGCAGGGCAGCAGGGCACTGCAGGCAGGACTGCCTTTGCTACAAGACATACTCTTTGAAATCCCAAGCCCTTTACTAGGTTGGTTTTTTTTTTTTTCCCCCCTAATCCAAGCAGGAGAATGGTGAAATAAACCTCTTCAGTGCTTCAGCCCTGCGGGAACGCACAGGGGATGCTTCCAATCAGCTGCTGGCAAGCAGAGGCAGAGAGGGGTCCTTTGAGTCACGGTACCAGCAGCCATTTGAGGACTTCCGTGTGTCACAGGAGCAGCTAGCTGATCACTTCGAGATCCGGGAGCGAAGGTATGCCAGTGTTTGTTGAACTCTTCCCAGCATGGAACCCCCCCCAACATTTAGCCTCCTTGATGCAGGCTGATAAACACAGCCTCCCACTAAACCAGAGCAGAGATGCAGCCTTGTTTGCTGCGTGGAAACCCTGAATTCCAGCATGAAAGTTGTGCCAGTCTGCAGGGGAGTCACTGCTTTGGAGGTTTGTGGGAGTAGGGTGGGACAAGGAGCTGCCACCTTGCAGCTGGTAGCACTTTCCCCCATCATACTGAGCCCCCGCTTTCCTCCCGTGGGGCAGCTTTTGACACCGGAGCATCGCCCTTGGTCACCACTTGGTCAGCCTCAGCTGTGTCCCCCCTCTCTGTGCCCCCCTGCAGGGTACTGCGGAGGACCCGGGTCAATGGGGACAACCGGCTGTAGCCCATCTCAGTGAGCAAAAGCACCTCCAGTGCTTGTGAATCTCACGGCACACTGTGAACTGGTTTCTATGGAAACGGCACTGCTATGGCCTACTTTCAGGCAGCTTTTCCAGTTTCTCTGCTGAAGGGTGCTCCAGTGGAGAACTAAAAAAAAAAAAATATTGGGGAAAAAAGAACCAAATCCCTAACCAACCGTAAAGACCCACCAACCTTCACCATCAAGCCCTTAACGAAGCACATCGGTGCATACAGCCTGCCAGCTGCTGAGGTGAGACAAAACTGTCTATAATCACAAGGAAAGAAAAAACCCAACCAGCCTTCTGCCGTCACTTCTCTGCCTGTATTCCTGGAGATCCCGCTCCTGCACAGCTGCCGGAGGCCCTTTGCAGCCATCCTTTGCTGTACCTGTTCCCAGCACGCCGGGCAGGGGAGGGACTTAAGCGACCAAGGCAGCACCTATCTCTGTCCTGGTGGCATCACATCTACCTACCTGTATAGCCACTGCCTATGGGTCCAGTAGTGAAACTATGTTTACATGCCACTCTAGCTTTAAGTGACAATAAAAGTGTCAGTATTACATGCGTGGAGGCTCAGGTGTCTGGCGGTTTGCCCCCCTGCAGCCCCAGCTGGAGCTGCAGGGGGGAGCTGGGGTGCAGCGTGGGGCTGCACTGCTCCCTCCTTCCTCCTGCCTTTAGGGAGTTTGCAGCTACTGGGGGAAAAAATAACCAGGAGCAGCCCCAGGTTTAATGTTGTTCACTCTAAAGGTTAAAACAAGGGTATGTGCTACAGCTGACTGCTTTTCCAAACCAGACTGGGCACAAGCTCCAGGCTGCAAGAGGGCTCCAGCATGCTGCCGGGTCACTCACTCGCAGCCTTACCCCACAGGTAAGTTGTCATGCTTTTAAAATGAGTGTGAGGGTTGTGACCGAGCATTCCCTGCTCCTGGACAAGTAAACATCCCCCTGTGCAGGGCAGCTCTCACCATCACTCAGCGTTAACATCGGGCATAGGGCATCTCCTGCGCATTTCAGCACCCCATGCGCTTCCCCACACCCAAGTGCAATCACCAGTCAACTCGTGTTCGTCTTTTATGCTCTTTATTTAGGAACAACCAAAAATGTCTGGTTTCATTTCAACAAACTGTACAAGCAAGCTCTTCCCCTCACCCACCCTCACATCCACATATACAAAAGGAAGGGAAACTTGCCATTCACTTCTCAGAAGTGGCATTGTTGCTACAGGGAGTTCTTGCCCTCAGAATAAGAGCAGGTAAAGTCCATAGCAGGTACAAGCTACCCTAACCCTAGTAATAGCCACAGCCCAAAATCACAGGCAGCTTCACTTTTTTTTCCTCTTTAAAACCTTTACCAAAAGTAAAAACTATTTCCTGTCTCACACGATTGCCAAGGTGACCATCTAAAACTGTGGTCTTAAAAAAACACAATAATAACCCCACTGGAACCCCCCACACCTCCCCAGTACAAAGACGGTTTACACAGCAGAGCCATTGCTCTGCTCCCTAGCTGCACAGCCACCCTTATGAAAGGTCCCGTTGCAGCTACAATTACATTTTCCTTTGGATAAATCCAAGCAAAAATTCCAGGTCATTCAGCACCAGCATGATTTCTAAATAACAATAATTAAAAAAAAAAAAAAAAAAAAAAAGAGACCCCATTAGGCTGACTTTGTGGTCTGCTGAGAAACAAAGTGATCAACACGCTGTTCCCAAAGTCTCTCTTTTAGTGCAATGTTAGTATGTGCAAGGGGAATCACAGCCACGTACCCATAACACCACCACGAGCCAGATGGGGCAGAGAGAAAGTGCAATTTTAGCAAGAAGTTTTCTATGCCATGAATTCCTAGCCCAACCTTCACTAGCACCAGTAAGCAAGAGTCCTCCTAATACTACCCTCCATCAGTACAGGGAAAAAGGGCTTTAATTGTGCCATCAAAATATGGCCAACGTCAGCCAACAGAGTACTCTTTACTGGAACAGGCAATAACAAGAAAACAAAACAAAACAAAAAAAAAGAAAATCACTGCTTAGGTATTGGAGCTCCCTTGCTCTGCTTTAAAGTTTTGCGATGCCAATCCAGCATCCCTGACAGGGACCGCTGCCAGTAAAACATACAGCAGAAACTAAACTTGCAAAAAAAAAGGTACAGCTTGCAAGTGTCTCATCCCCCCCTCCATTTGTAGTGTTGCCTAATCTTACCCTGCTGGTTTTGTGATCAGCTGAGAAATTACAAGAGGTTAGTGCGGTGAGCTGAATGACATCAGACCACCAACTGATTTGAAAAGAGCGAAGCCAAAATTATCTGGCCAACAGGAGAGAGACGTTCACAAGCATTTTAAATACTATTAACTTGATGAGAAGGTGCAGCAGCATGTTAACTTTCTAATTTGTGCCTGAGTGCTGAAAAATCATTTTTCTCTTCTGATTCCCAGTGAGCCAGCTTCCAAACATCACCTTCTGATCAGGTTGCCTCTGTAATGTCGCTAAGACAGGGGCTGCAGGGAAGACAGAATGCAACACTTCTACCTGTGACCAAAAATTGTTGCTTTTCGTTTAAAAAAAATATACCCAAAACCCTAAATGGAAAACCAGCCTTCCACATCCTCCTTTTCCTCCTGAACAGACAGGGGACACCTAGCAAAAATTAACCAAGCAGATTATCTTGCAGCTCCAGCTTCTGTGCAAGCCTCACCTGGGCAGGTTAAGGGTCTGCATTCAGATGTGGGCTGACTACAGGCTTTCTCACCACAGCTGCCATCAGCTACTGCTTTTGCCAGTGGCTTCTCATGGTGACCAACGCAAGCCCCTGGCAGAGAAGGGACATGCAGCTGCAATAAATACCTGCAGCTGGAGCTCTGCAGGTATATGCTGACCACTGCATGCCATGCATTGAAGCAAGCACCTGTGCCCATTCCTCTTGCCATGGCTGCAGCCCTGATGTGCAGCAGTGCTCAGTTCTCAGGCAAGTGGAAATAGGAGCCTATAAATCATGGTTTGTTTAGCATTCTGCTAAAAAAAAAAAAAAAAAGAAGAAGGATTTCCAGGATGCTAATTAAGGAGCTGAAAAATAAGCTACCCAAATGAAACACAGAGCCATGTCTAGAAATCTCATGGCAGGGCCTGCTGATAATGAATACAGTAACTTTGTTCCTTGCATCAGGAGAACCAGCAGCCCTTTACATGAGCGAGCCAGGTACAGCACAAGTCAGGGTTTTGGGTTATTAAGCAACTGGATTGTGCCCTTAATCTAAGCAGCATCAGAGACATAAGTAACAAGATTCACATGAATTAAAAATGATGGTTACTACTGTGCCTGTCAAGCCCAAGCTCACACACAGTGGATGGAAATGAAGAATTTAATTTCCCTTCCTTACTGATGCTGGCTACATGTCCTCTATCTTACACCCCTCCTTTCAAGTCAAGATAGTCATCTTTGATTACATTATGATAAATATTCACACACTGTAGAATTGTGGTGACACTTCCTCTTAACACCAGAAGAGCTGCTGCTGGGACTGTCAACCCACCTCTCAATTCTTCCTTTCAGTTTCATATGCAAACACATTTCTAATGTCCTGCACCAAAACCTGAGCCTATTTGGAGATGACACCTGCTTCTCCTCAGCTTCAAAAACAATGCAATAAGGAAACAGAGGACCACAGAGCTAAACCCTCAAAAATCTTCAGCTTATACTTTCATGGAGATTTCAAGGCAACTCAAAAATGCAGATAACAAGGAATGTAGGAGTTAGAAAGGAAACTCGATTACTTTTTGATTTTTTTTTTGTCTCCAGATCTTACCTCCCCCATGCAACGGGGCTTGCCAGCCCCATCACCGCGTCCGAGGGGAGTCTGCATGGAACCACTTTTAAAATTCCTCCAACCCAAAAGAAAGAAAACTCCTGCTGTGCTTGTATGAATGCATGGAGACAAAGCTCAAAAAACCTCAGCAGCTTCCAACCCTCAAGGCTGTTTTTTCTGTGTACACCAGGAAATTCTCCCTCTAGCTCACAAGACTTCTCTTTTCAATCTTTCTGGAAAACTGGCCAAATACAATCCAAGTGCAACGAATTTCAGCTAATGCATGGAAAAATGGTTTGAAGGGACCAGTTCATACCATAGTCCTTAAGCACTTCTGTAGATGGAGCGGGGATCACTCTTCCAGTTAGCCATAGGCCTTTAAGTGTACATCAAAAATCCCACAGAAAATCACCTTGAATGGGCAAACTACACTTCCAACATATTTATATAGCAAGTAGTTAGTAAAAGTGTACATTTTTAACGTACATCTTAATGCAATAAAGAATCAATGAATGACATATCTGAACTGTATATATGTGTACTTAAATAAACCTGCATGTACATAGACACTAGAGAGTAAATTGACCTACCTGCATTTGTTCTCTGAAGGTAACACTGTACATACACTCATACTCTCTGGCCGCACGACTCCCAGATCTGCTACCTCCGGCTCTAGGACCACCCAGATTCTCCCGTCACCTGTGACATTTTGGGGTGTGCAGGATTGCACCTGTGAAGGTGAACCCCTGGGGCTCTGGCTGTCTTCGCAGTGCAGCCGCCCATGCTCTCCCAGAGGAGAGCTGTGGGGATGCTGCCTGGCTGAGCCGACATGAGGCCGAGGTGGGACTGCTGCTGGTTATGCCTCCAACCATGGCATAACTGGCAACAGTGCTTCTAAAGAAAAAGAAATTTAGGGAGCCTGGTGTCACAACAGGGTGCTCTGGGTCAGCACCACCACTGCTTGCAGCATTTTGGGGAAGAGTTCCTCTGACTGCTACGGGATGGTTTCAGTGTGGGTGTCTGCATCTGAGGATGTCGCCCCAGCTCTCTTTAGGGTGCAGGTCATCTCCTTGTGAAGCAGATGCTCACATTTGGCTGTGGGGGTTACGCTGTGTGCCAAGGGAGCTATGCAAGCTCAAGCACAGGCACCTACCACGTAGGCACATACCACCAGGCAAGAAGAAGCGCTCTCTCTTGCAAAGCACTGAGCAGATAAAGCCCCTCACAGTAGTTGAGCAAGGCAGCCTCTTAAAGAGGGGACAAAGAAAGAATTGGACAAGCAAGGGCAATTAAAGGTAGAAATCAGGCACCATCTTTGGAAGAGGTTCTGAAAGAGCTTTTTTGTTTTTAAACCAGAT